TTGCCAACTTTCGAAGTTATACAAGTACCACACTACCAACCTATTGATACATAAAATCCCATTTCATGGGAAAATTGAAATATGTGTCACCCGGGCGAACTTTTCTCACATTCTTGCGGGAGAATTTCCTTAGAGCAATTTCCTGATGCGAGAGTTAACGAAGCATAGCATAAATGATTTCACTTATAATTTTATAACCTTTGGTTTACAGTTTACAGAACACATTACCAACTTCGTGACAAATCCCATCAAAAATCTCTATCATGGCAGACACGGGGCATATTGGAGACCTTCCAGAAGCCTAGCAAGAAACTTCCAGAGGAGAAGAACTTCCCGAGAGCGAATCTTCCGAAGACGATCATTCCGGGGAAAAGTTGACTTGGGCAATTTGGTTACAGTAATAGAAGGGCATTTTAATATCGGCTACGTAAAGGATCCTCTTTAGGGGTACATTAAAGTACTTTAGCGAGGATTTGTTAGGGGAGGAAGGAGAATAACAGTCCGATAGTGAATCTTCCGAGGGCGAACATCCCGGGGGAGAATTTACTTGAGCAATTTGGTTACAGGAATAGAAGGGAACTTTAATCAGCTAGATACGTTTATTCCTTAGAAGCCAATTTCTCGAAGCCGAGCGTCCCCTGTGAGCGTCAATGCTGGCGAGAACGAAGTATCCCTTAGCCGAACGTTGCACAGCGGCGAATTTGAATGGGCACGGGCGAGTTTTTTTTTAGGTAGAATTTATATGATTACATAGCATTTATATAATCGTATTAACAAAAAATTGTTGTCTATTCTTCTAGATCTATAAGTAAATTATCAGGATTTATGGTTGTACATTTGCCGGCCATTTGCCAGTTAAATTTGTGTACTGCTTTCTCTTCAACACATTATTAATTACCTCGTCATACGCAATACAATGAAAAGCTCTTCCAGTTATCCACTTTACGCTCCCATTTTTATGAATTTGAATTACGTGAACAAAGTTTCCTGTAGCTCGCGTGACCGAAGTTCATTTGGGTTGCCGTATTTTAAGGTGCAGGCTGTGCAACTATAGACCCAACAATTATTTTCATGTGAATCGATCGCATTTTGAGATAATACACAAATAGAGCATCAGTCTAGACGTCGTATTAAATGCCTGAATGAAACATTTAATTGTCTTCAGGTAATGGAAGTCGACTGTGCTGGTATATTTACTATCTGGGCCATATTTGGTTGCCTGTAATGAATTAAGCACCGTATATTTGCGATAGATATAAAGAAAAATAGTAATAACTAAAGTATTGCAGTAAACAATTGTAACCTCGCCTAAAGGCCCCCTTTTGGGCGGCATATTGTAACGGTAGTTACAATTGTAGGAAAGTTGTACTACGTTTGGGGAATTTACATTTACATTTACAAATATCCATGCCGGAACCCGGATTCGAACCAGGGACCCTTAGCACCACAGTTCAGCTTTAACTGAACTGCGCCACACGGGTCAAAGTTACCAGCAGTTTTCCAGCCTGTTGACCCCGATGTCGGTGGTGACGAAACGTATGGCTTCCCGAGTGGCTTCCATCCATATGCTGTACAGGTCTCTTACGAGTCCCGCTCGTTGAGGTGGTTACGTTACTGCGCGTTGTTTGGGATTGGCGTCTCTCCTTCGAGTGGCTTCCTTCTGCAGTGACAGTGTGGCCAAGGTATTGCAAGGCTTCGAAACGCCATTTTTCGATGGACAGGCGCAGTTGGTGGCGTTTTAGACGATCCAGGACGAGGTGCAGGTGTCTGAGATGCTCCTCCCAGGGGTGAGAGTAGACCCATTATGCCATCCAGGTACACCATGACCAATTCTGGTAAATATTCGGCGAGCACCTCGAGGAATTCACTTCTGAAACATTTTACTTTAAGTTGGTATCTCGCTCCGTTAGGGGTTTCGAGGTTTTCGTTACTGCGCCTTCCTTTGGAGGGACAGTTGTGGAGATTCAATTGTTGCTTCAATTGTTGGGGCATCGATGCCTTCGTGATTTTTGCATGAACAAGAAAAAGGTAATGATATTTCAAGGTTATATTATTTCAAAGGTTACCTGGTAACTATGTGGGCGGAAGCGGGAGGGACGGAATGTATACGTCATCGAGAATTCAGACATTGACGTTCAACGTTGTTTGTAGTCGCGCGCCGGGTGCTTATTTTTCTTGAGTTATAGTTTATTTGTTTAAAATTTGTTGAATTTTGAAGTGCATAAGGACATTAGCTGTAGATGTTTGGTGCAATATAAAGACATTTAGTTTGTGATTTTTGTGGATTTTCATAACCGTGATTGAAAGGTTAGTTCATCAATTATATGCACTTTTGTATGTTATAATTAGGTATTTTTTTTAGATGAGTGGCGGTAACACTAAAATTCCTCATCCTGGTGTAAATAAAATCTCAGTTTTTACGTTTCCCAAAGACCCTACCGTTCTTAAAGAATGGGTAAGAAAATGTTTCACGTCCGGCAGCAAACTAAAATGTGCTTGGCTCCCATTGGTCAAAACGGCCAAGGGATGAAAGCGTAGCGTCCCTGGCCGCAAACGTTTAAAAGCAGAGCCCCGAACTCTGCAAAGTGCAACGCAATTTCTGCTTCGACTGCACTTCAAGAAACAAAAAGCTCTCCACCTGCAGAACCAGGTCGCCTTGTCAGCTCGACTTCGTGCCACACTCCATCAGTCAGAAGACCTACATCTGGGCTCACCCCAACGACAGAGCTCGCCGTGTGCACCTCGGTTACCATTTTGTACATACTATAAATATACATATTCCATAAAACGCAAAAGCATTTTATTTGGCGTCATCCGCTAAAGAATGTTTAGAGTTTTAATTCCCAAAGCCTAGGTATTAATACATAGGGCTGGTTCCTATTTTGTAGATCGCGGAATTTTATCCATTTCCACCTCTAAAATTAATTTGATTACATTTTCACAAGTCCTCGTGCAATGTAAAATAGCTTACGCACAACACTCATTTTTTCAATACTTTGATTGCTTTCAAAGGTGGAGGTCGATAAACTTCCAAGATTTCCAATATAAAATCCACCCTTATATACATATACCCATATAAATCCAAAAATATACTGCAAAAACTAAATTTTTTACCCCTTTTATTAGCATTGTAACCTATGAGCAATTTTAAATGTGTATTCTGGATGACGTTTTCCCGCTTTCAAAATGCAAACATTCTATCGGTTTAGAGTTACCAGACAACCTTTCTAATAAAACAACCTTGATGCTATTTCATTTTTCCGACATCTCTGAATGTAAGGATAGGTAACGTTAGGGATGGGAACGGAAGGAAGTTAGAGTGCTTAGAGGGAAGAGTACTGCTCCAGTATTCGCCTCATAGGTTTTTACATTTTATGCGAAGCAACGTAATACACTTGTAATACTTGAACGGGCGATGTGCGAGAATTTTCAATTCGAATTAACAAAACCCCTGCGCACTGTTAAGTAAGTACCCTATCGACAGTATCCGCGACTTTTCCTGAATCTACCGATTGCAGTCCAGTACGGTACAATCAACACTAGACGCGACACCACTGTCTTCTCTTCTACTCGGCAAACCTGGTAAATTCATACCCATACAAAACATAAGCATTTCCAATGCTAAAAGCCTATGGCACAATAGCGCTAAATTACTGCAAAATAAAAGGCTCTTGCTTACTGACGTCTTGTAGAAGCGTCTTTAAACACTAAACTCAAAACAGAACTTGTCCTGCTCAATTTACTGGTTTATGCGTGGTAATTGTGTAAGTTGTCATAGCCACGAACACCGTTACAAATTAAACAGTATACAAAAAGTATGCAAGCAAGAAGCTCAGCGATAAAGTCATTTTAAGGGTCGTATTTACTGGGAAATCATGAACTGTTTACTGTCCCTGATTTGTTATACAATCCTCTTTTTCTTGCTTTGGAAAACAGTTTAATCTCGTAGTTCAAAAAGAAATCCATTCATGATTCTAAACAAACAGTAGACCCTGTAAAAATTGTGACTGAAGCGAATAACCTCAATAGCAGATGATGCGTGATGCCCTCCGCCCACTATAACATAAATACGCAAGAAGCGCTAGCTAAAGGAGTAGAATCCTCAAGGGAAATTGAACGTATTTGAAGTGTACGTACTTATTTGTCACACAATGTCTTTTCAGAAAACCTATGGATTCGGTTATCAACTCATTTGTAATGTGCTTTTCGTAAATAAAGCTAACGTGCTGCGAAAAACCTTTTTCAACACAATCTGTATTTAAACGATCTCCTTTATTAAACCGACACCTAATCGCTATGTCCTTTCATGTTTTTGTCAAAGAGATTAAAATTCAGCTCACTGTGGGTCACACACTTTAACTGTGGGACGTTGTACAAACATAATTTTATATTCACCACACAGGAACTTTGATTAATGAATTATTTTAACGCATCGGTGAGAACAATGTATCAAAGACTGATGGGTGCAGCTGCAGAGTCTCTATAATTCGCGAGCTTGAGGAGAGAAAATGATTTCGGATGCGACCTTTGAATTGGCACTTCGTTTTATGGCATGATAAATGATTCAGTATTAGATGGTGTGCGAAAAAAGGAATTATTGGTGTTGGGGCATTGACGATCAAGCAAAGGACGTAGAGGATCAGAGCATCTGGCGAATATGACAAATAATCTGCTCCATTATATTTAATAAAGTAAGTTTGTAAGAGCAGCAAAGTGAAGAGTGTGGAAGATTGGATAGAGTCCCTCTATTGATCCCCGAAGACAACGTCGAGCTTCAATATCGGCACTGCTTTCAAACTCGAAAGGTGCATTATGAAAGTATTAAACTGCGGAATTCCTAAAGAGAAAATATGAAATCTAGTTTAATGCAGAAGTTCCCAGGTGAAGGCGAGCAAAGCAGGCAAGCGCGTCAGGTACCGGCTGGCCGGGCTAAAGGAACACGCGCAGCTCACCCAGTCATCGCTCCGTCGAGTCGCTTTCCGTCGAGACGCTTGCAACAGGTAGCCAGCGCAGTCTTTGCATGTGCGCGAAGAGCCACAATCGAGTTCATGAATAGTTAGATATTTTCGGCGATCAGTTAATTAGGGGGGAAAATCGCGAATTTTTCGTATGTGACGCTTTCAATATTTCGAACGGTGTGGGTGAAAATTTAAGGTTTTTACGTTACATATCGGGTAAGTGCCAACTAATTACTGTTGTAAAACTTTTAACACATGTAATTGGTACAAAGTTTGGCCTTGAACCAATTAAAATGTTTGAATGCTTGAAGTCGCACAGGAAAGCTTTCGAAATAAAATGCGCTCCAGAAGTTATAAGCATGAAATTGAAGAGGGTTTACCATTGGGTATACAAAGAACTTTCCACAGCTGAAAACATTACGAAAAGAAAAAAAAACACTTTGGACTAGCTTTAGCCAATGATTCCAGCGTATTAAGGAAAATTGGGTTTGGTAAAGTGCGGGTAATTATGTTATTTTATACTCACTGCTCTTTTCAGTGATTCCGCTGGATTTACAGAGTAGAACGGTAACAACTTAATTAAAACTGCGATAATTTTTGCAGAACAATACAATGCGGTAAAAATCTACCTACATTTAGCGTCCCATCCGATCTAAATTTCGCCTTGTGAGCGGTGCGTGTAGAGTCATATCAACTTTTCCGCAGTCTCTGTATTTTAATTGCCTGCGGCCTTTCATTTTTGTTTCTGCGTTTTTTACCAGTCAAATTAATCGACACTTATTTTATGGCAAAGTGTATTGCCTAATGTTGCAAAACATGAAACATAGTCGACTCTGTAAAATAATTACTCTATTATAGGAAAGGATTAGAGTGACTCTAGCTATATTTAAAAAAATATCTTAAGTATCCAAATGTTCCACACCAGTTCATTTGTTTTTAGATGAAATTGATTTCCAAATTAATAAATATATAATCAACTAGATATTATACACCCCTTGTTGCGAAAGATGTGTCAGTGGTTTTTTTTTGGACATCAATTTTCCAATACATAAATTCCCATAACCATTGTAATAGTTGAGGAAAAATAACATATACGCCGTCTAACTTTTCCGTTTTGTTAATATTCAGGTAATCAACAATAAGGAATGTAGGTTGCACTAATTATTTGAGGTCAGTGGTTATCGAAACGAGAAACTTCTGGGGAGGAAGTTGAAAGAGGAATTGCTGCAACAGGTCAAAAATTGTTATTTATCGCGGCGTTTTCAAGTACATATTCTTGAAAATAATATAGAATTTAATGAATTAATGGTTACATCTTATTTCAAAATAAAATAAGTAAGAAATTATTCAATGGTAATTCCTTCATATTTAATTTCAATCCTTTCTAGGTTATATTCTATGCCATATTACTGCTTAAAAAATTCATTAATTAATGAATTAATTAACTCAATAAGAGTTGCAAAGGAAAATTTATACAAATCTACACAGCTCATTATTATTATAAGGTTTACGAGGTTCTGATGCTCTAAATAATTATTATTTAATAGTTATTTACATAAAAGTCAGGAAAATGACGTTATGGCGAGGAAATATTGACATACGAGGCCCCTTTGGGACCGAGTACTTTAAATTCCGAGTCAAGTAATGTCATTTTACTGACGAGTTTTCTATTAAATTTTACCCGAAATCGAAATTTTAACATAAAATTTCAATTTTCATATAGAACTTTTGATTAATGTCAATTTGGCAGTGATGACAGGAGTCAAATATACACATTTAGCAATGTTAAAAATTCGGCCGGTGAAGTGACAGGTGACAGATAGGCATGAAAATGAAGGTTTCAGGACAATTTTAGGTAAATATAATTACAATTCATTACTGTCTCTTTGTAAATAGTATCCCGGGGAGGACTCTTTCAATCGTCATAGGAGTGCTGGAACTCGGATTCCGAAATGACATTCAGCTGGTCAATTACCGCTTTTTGAATCAATTCCAAAAGTGAAGTCCCTTGATTGATATGGAACGAAATTGTTTACTCAGCGAATATTCACTTTTTGACAAGTTCAAAGAAACGCGCCTCATTTTCAATCGATGCATTTTGCTCTTCTGAAAGCTTTCTTAAAACCATTTTCGCAAAGGTTTTTTTCGTGATCTTTTGTGTTGCCTTGGATGCATCAATGGTTGAGGCATTTGATTTGGATGACCTTCCATTCTGTTGTGATTCTTCTTCATATCACGGAGCGTTGATTGATATTGAAAGATGTTTAACTGGTTTTTCTGAATTACGGAGGCATTCGATTTACTTGCACAACCCCAGAGCATTCTTCTTCATATCACGGAGCGTTGATTGATATTGAAAGATGTTTAACTGGTTTTTCTGAATTACGGAGGCATTCGATTTACTTGCACAACCCCAGAGTTTAAATGTATACCTACATCCAAATTGGCTTGATGATTGCTTTGTACTTGTTCTCTATGGACTTGCTGGATCATCTTTCAATCATCTAGGGCAGATCTTTCACTTTCAAATCTATTTGTTTTCGGTTCTTGACAATGTGCTCCTTCCTTACGCTTGATTGACTCTGAATAGTCTTTCACTGAGATAAGACCACAATAATGTGTAGTATGATATTGGGAGGAATCCTTTGGGTATCATCCAAAGGCTGTCATGGGGCTGTATACTGCCGTGATTTGACCCATGTTCTGTTATGGAACAATTACCTGGTGGCTATTAGTACCAGACTCTCGACAATCATAGCACTTTTTAATCAAAGACTAGCTTGCCTTTCTTGCACGGGTTCAATGCGAACAACTCCCACAGCCATCATGAAACCCCTTCTAGATCTCTACGTGAGAGGGATCTGCCGCCACTAGATCTCTAGTGCGGGCTATTCTGGCATCCTTGCGTCGAAGAACTAAGGGGTTGTTAGTAGGGGAACTGAGGTGGGCCACTCCCGTATTATGTGCGAGGTGATTAAGCGATCACCCACTCCTCAATTCATAATACCTACCACATCTTGTTTGATGGGGAAGTGGTATCCCAATCTGGTATATTCATCTTCACGGATGGGTCTAACACAATGGAAGGATCAAGCACTGGTATTTACTCCAAAAATCTGAACATCTACATTACTCAACAACTAGGCGAACTCCCTACTGTATTGCAGGCAGAATTGGTGGCACTAATGCTTAGTGCAAGAACAGTTCTTATGCACAACATAAAGAATAAAACTATCAGAATCTCAAGTGACAGCAGGGCTGACTTGCAGTCACTTGGTCACTGTAAAATTACCTTTAGGATGGGTTCCGAATGTCACCATGCACTAGAATAGGTAGCAAACAGCAACTCCCTTGAGCTCGAATGAATCAAAGGGCATGCTGGAACGGAAGGTAATGAGAAGGTCGATGAGTTAGCTCGAAACAGATGCTTTATGATCTAGAGACAGCTCTTGCCACGAGTGAGGGTCGGGTGACTCTAGTCAAGAGGGGATAGATAGTACAAAGGGCCCGAATGTGAGGCCTAAGAGTGTGTGGACCTAATTCATCTTCCTATCGTAAACCAGAACCCAGAATCTGGATACTTAGACCGGTATTTTTTCAAAAACTAATTGGAGATTTTCATTGGCATCTTAAAAGATCCACGAGTGCGCCATATTGGGGTTAGAATTAAGAAATGGAAAGGGACCCAATATACCCCATTTAAAGACCTTTCTCGAGCAAAAATGACCGACCCTGCACATTCAAGACAATAAATGATCCTGTATTGCAATTATAAAAACAGTGGCATAATAAATAATGAACGTGTTTACTGTATTGATTAATGGCACATCCGTGGGTAGATTTTTTTTAACTTCGTTTAGCTAGTACAATTAAAACAAACACAGAGATGTTGCTTTTACATTCGCTGAGACCTTCAATTTATATAGAAGGAAGCGTACTGCTATAAACAAGGTCTACTTTATAAGCGCGATCAAACATCAACTCCAACTTCATTTAGCTAAAAGTTTTGCACTTGAATAATTAAAGCGATGATGCCCGTTTAATTAAATTTTGAAGGATGTTACATTAATAATAGGTATATCCAGACATTAAAATGAAAATTCAAATTCGAACTATCTCATAATACGCACGAATTCGAAAAGAACTGTAAATCGTATAAAGGAAGTAAGCGCGAAAGCTTTGCATGTCAAAATTCTCCAAATTCGTTTTCTGTTTACGCCCTTCCAAGCAATTTTCAGGGGAAATAATTTCATGAATGATACATTTCGAAGGGTTCTTTATTTTATTTAATAAAACCCCTGACTTATTGTCTCGTATTTGTAACTTTATATTCCCACATTGAATGTGGTGGAATAAATTAAATGGAATAGTGATGTCGCGGTAAAAATGGTGAGTTAAGGGTCGGCCTCAATTTCGAAAGCTATTCGATAGTTAGCGGTTAACGTACAAATAACAGCGTAAATTAAAGCACCTCTACATTTCGAAGTAAAAAGTGCATCCCACAAGGGCCCATTTGCGCAGCATGAAATCCCATAACAAAAGGTATTACGCAAATTCGGTCTCTTAAGAATCACACAACGTTTTCCTATTAATACGTTTGCGATTAATTTGAAACCCACATTGTAAATAGAAGCTCCGTTTTGTATGGGAATTAAATAAATACTCACGCTATACAACATGCGAGATTTCGGTTTAAAATAACATGACGTTTAGTCGATCCTTATTTCAACCGTGAAAATTAACTGCAAATCGAAATGATTGTTAATATATAGAACTGTTCTAATTAATTCGTAATTGCATGAATTTGTATATTAGCAAACATCGTCAGTGGGCGGGTAGAGTATGCGGGATGAATACCTCAAACGTCGTACCCTGGAAACTTTGCGCTACACCTTCAACGCTAATAATGTTGTATCTGATGATGAGGGTTCACATCGTATGGTAATTAAGTGAGGGAAGTTCAAGGTGAGTGGATGGAATAAACCAAATTTTATTGAAAGGGCCTCCGATGGAATTATAACAGAGCGGCGGCCGATTGGCATAATCGATTCTTTGGAAAAAAAATTGAGGGTGAGGTAAAGCGATTTATTCCGACTGCAAATCTCACTTAAAGTTCTAAAATGCAAATGATACAGTAACGTGATAAAAAGTACTGTTTGCAGAGCCGGGAAAGCTGTTTACCATATTCAAGCGGTATTACAAAAAGCGTTTTAAGC